GGTTAATAGTGCTTGGTCTATTGTTCGGTAGGCGAAATTTCACATTCTCCACAGTATTCCTATATTTTTTATGAACCCCGACTACATTTTTTCAGCATTTTTACAGACTTTTATAGTATTCACTGTTAATCAACAAAAACTGAATTGATTGTGAAATAAATAAGGAAAATGAATACTGAAATAGTTCCCGCTAATCTCGGCTTCCTAAACTCAGGTTAATAGTGCTTGGTCTATTGTTCGGTAGGCGAAATTTCACATTCTCCACAGTATTCCTATATTTTTTATGAACCCCGACTACATTTTTTCAGCATTTTTACAGACTTTTATAGTATTCACTGTTAATCAACAAAAACTGAATTGATTGTGAAATAAATAAGGAAAATGAATACTGAAATAGTTCCCGCTAATCTCGGCTTCCTAAACTCAGGTTAATAGTGCTTGGTCTATTGTTCGGTAGGCGAAATTTCACATTCTCCACAGTATTCCTATATTTTTTATGAACCCCGACTACATTTTTTCAGCATTTTTACAGACTTTTATAGTATTCACTGTTAATCAACAAAAACTGAATTGATTGTGAAATAAATAAGGAAAATGAATACTGAAATAGTTCCCGCTAATCTCGGCTTCCTAAACTCAGGTTAATAGTGCTTGGTCTATTGTTCGGTAGGCGAAATTTCACATTCTCCACAGTATTCCTATATTTTTTATGAACCCCGACTACATTTTTTCAGCATTTTTACAGACTTTTATAGTATTCACTGTTAATCAACAAAAACTGAATTGATTGTGAAATAAATAAGGAAAATGGATACTGAAATAGTTCCCGCTAATCTCGGCTTCCTAAACTCAGGTTAATAGTGCTTGGTCTATTGTTCGGTAGGCGAAATTTCACAAGAGGTGCACGAGAGTGGTCCATGGACCTGGGGTCCGCATTTTGTCGTTTCCCGCCGGTGATAAAGTGTTGTTAAAACAAGACAAGAAAAACGAGCATTCAACTTTCTCATCATCTTTATTAAAGTGACATTTATTAGGAATTAACTGTCTAAGAAAGAGGGATATAATATTTGCATAATTATGTTAATGTTTAGTGAGTATGTATAAATACACATGCATACTAAGGAGCTGGGAGTTATCTTCTTGTAATAGCGATTTAGTCTGTTTTTCGAACTAGTATGTATTAGTTTGTTTATTTCATTTTAATCATTACTCTTGGTAATCCAAATCGGTTACTGTATTCTGTGTCCTTCTCACACATATGCCAACTGCAAATCCCTGCTGACAAGTCCATGAAGGACGAAACACAGCATACAGGGATACTGAATTTTACACACATAACTATCTCATTTTATGTCACAACAGTCTCCAAATGTTAGAGGCAAAAAGTGTAGGGTGAAATTAGCCTGCTTGCAGGCTGTTGTCTGGCAGAGGCTGGGAGGAACGGCCTGCGACGTTCATTAGTAAAAAGTCGATTTACGCATACGGAGCATACGCAAAATTCCCATTGGTCTGAAGTGCCCCATGAGTTAATATTGTGCAAATATTTAACTTGTACGACATTTCACAATGTAATTTTAAAGCTGGCATTCAGTCAGTGGCGTTTAAAACCATGACTTTGTTTATCTCTTCAAAGAAGTAACTGAATGTATTTGAGAAACCTTTCGATTTAAATTAATGTTGAAGGATGAGCAAAGGTTAACAATATTAACTGTACTTCCAACAGGGATTTGATAAAAGTTTAATATACCAATACTTTGTCTTCATCAGCTATAAACCTTTTCCAAAGAAGTACAAGGGAAAACTTCGACCTATGCCTTGCTGATCGTTGCAGAGAAAGTAAAATAAGTCTAGTTCAGGCTGACAATTTATCTCACCATGTTTGCATCACTTGCGGCAGAAATCTTCAAGACTTTTGTGTGTGTTTTGAAAATAATTATTACCAATGTTGAACAATTTAGCCCAGCGAGACATTTGTTGAGACACAGGCAGTGAATCAGCTAGTATAAAGCAGTTGATTGTCAAATGTCTCCGAACATTTCTCCCAAATACTTCCCTGTCAACCCAAGGCTTTCTGCCTCAACAATCTGGTCTTGAATAAGCCAAGACAATTGGCAAATTATTAAAACAGACATCGTCGAGGAAAGTTGTTCTTAGAACACCTGGCCTGTAATGTATCGCGCCCGGATACAGAATATTTGAAGGAACAATATATAAAACCAACAGTCTGCTTCGGTGGTTTTAAGAATTAATAGTCAATTACAAAGTACAAGTAAAACATTATTACAACATAGTGCATAACTAATTAACCTATTACGCTAGTTAAGTGTATATTAATTAGGGGGTGGTGCATTCCACTTAAACGATCGTGATGTTTTTGGAATATTCAACTTTTTTGTTCCTTTCGTGATACTACAGCATGAAAACGAAAACCAAAATCAATTATAGTGTACCGTGAAACCGTATAAATTCACATGTATTACATCTCTAAAAAAGAAATTTTAAGTTAGTCCAATGACCTTCCAAGTTGTTCATAAATTACCATCCATATTTAAGTTACTGACTGCAAACCAGTGTGCTTTATAGGCTAACTAAGCACCCTGCTGCAAATTACAAAGGGAAAGTAGCCTTAAAATAAAATTTCATGGACATTACCCCAAATAGTCAGATGGCAGAAGTTCGCCGCATTCCAAGTTAAACGATGTTGCAAATACACTTGTCAATTCTCTTGCAACCTCTTCCTCTGTCCAAGTAGCATTAATTGATACTTTCCCAATCAGACCAATTTCTGCTAAATGAGCCCTTTTAACTCCTCTTGGTATTGGAATCTCTAGCAGATTATCTGAAGGTTTCAAGCATACAACATTTTTTGTACAGTATAGGTCTTTCCGGGCTTGGGTTGGCTTGTTGCTGAACGTTTCCGTTTCTTACTGCTTGCATTTTCAAACTGGACTCCACTTCCAACAAAGAGTGAAGGAAGTGACCTTGTCTGATAAAATTTTAAAATAAAAATTATTCTTCCATTACTAAAGGTATGATATACAGTACCTTACTATCAATAACATGGGTACCCATTTTTCAACTCAGGCAAGTTTACTAGCCAATTTATGTGATAAATAATAAATATTACTTTGTGGAGTTGTGCCTAACCAAGCAATTTCCCAAAACAACTAACTTCTCTAAATGCCGACTTACCACACTAAGTTGGGGATGAGCTGTTGCTGCAAGTGTTGTCTGGCGGTTCAGCTATAATGCAGAAAATAAGAGAGTCTGACATTTATATTATAATTGATTAAGTCACATAATCTGGAAAATCTCTTACAGTTTTTCAATAGGAAATTCAATTTCTTAAAGAGGCTGGACATTGAATAAAGCTACTAAGGTGTTTTGTGGATTGGCCAATTGATTCAATATATGCAATGGCATTGTTCCCACAATTTTTAATTATAACATAACTGTGTTTGTGTTTAGCCATCCCAATCTAAATTGAAAATCTCACTATGTAAAATTTTAGAATTTTAATCTCTGAAACACCATTTCTGCATCATATGCATAAATCTGCTGATTAATTTAAAATTAGTTCATCCCAACAAAATAGAACTTTTCCCTAACAGGGGGGCTAATTCCCTCCTTGGCACCAGCACTGCATGGGTGTTACTATCTCACTTATAACAGAAATAGTGCCAGAATAGTTTGACAATGATTTATCCTATTGTGATCATTTGTTTATTCAGAGACCAAAACAGTTTTGCCGACAAAAGATTTGTTTGTCAACAACAGTAATTTGTCTGGTTTTGCAACGGCCCTGTGAGATACTGTATTAAAAAATGAAAACATGACAAGTATGATAGGAAACAAGAAACTAACTTGTGTACTGGTGCTTGGGTTGCTTTCCTGTTGCCTTGCTTGCAAGAGTCTTGCTGTATCCAATGGTTGTCGCTAAAAACGAAATAACACATCAATACTACATGTATGTATACACTATTCAAAATGGCCAAATGCTCCATGGAAGCTGATTGAGTATTGAAATTTGCATAATTAGTGTGTTTGGTCAATAATTAAATGACGCGGGATGCATAATAAGGTGAGTCTCGTGTTATACTGATCATTCTGTGCTGATCACCATGGTATTGTAATGTGGAAATAAGAAAAGTAGATGTGGGGGATGGGTTAGCAAAATATTGTTTTTAGTGTAGTAGTACTATTTCAAGTGCCAACCCATCCACCCTTCTGATTCACATCCTTAAATGGATGGGAAATGGCAATATAAATTTTTATTTTCTCATTTGAAAGAACGTTTGAAACTATTTAATAACTTATTTTACCGATTCATCATATCTTGCTTCAGTTCTTGAAATATTTTCACTTGAAGTAATGAGATGTCCGCCATCTTGGATAAATTTTTTATCTCATCAACGGTAGTTTTGGTGACGTCACAACAGGAATTAAGCATATAAAAGAATTTGTTGCTGACCTAGTGTTGTGCAAACTCCGGTTTTTCAGCTCCGGCTGAATTATAGCTCTGATCTCCGGCTCCATCAAAATATTAAATATTTTAATATTTTACGATCAGAGAACATTTATTAATATTATTATGAATAACCCTTTTCGTGCTTCCTAATTATCAGATAACATAACTCAGGAAACAAAACAGTGAAAACACTTAACCACGCAGAAAATATCTATATGGAAACCAGCCAGTGTTGCAATTTTTATATAGCATGACGCGAGGCATGACGCTAACACTCTCAGACTCCACAGCGCAATTGTTCGCATGCAAACAAAGTACTCTGTCATTTTCAAAAGGTTGATATTTATTTGTTTCGTACTTTTTCGTTACCTACAAGGCATGAATACACAGACTATGTAGCGCTAAGTCAGATGGCTTCATGAAAGCATTATGACGTTTGTAAGTTGCGATCGTATTACAGCTTTTCCACGCTGTTCCTGTGGGCTGTGGCAGTTTGAGTTTGATGAATTCATCAACAGCAATTTGGCAGTTTGCAGTAACTAACAATCGTTTGACATTTGTCTCATTTCATATTGTTTTCTTGTCATTTTGCCGGAGCTGGGAAAACGTAACTCCGGCTCCGACATACAAAATTCGGCTCCGGAATCAGAAAAACCACCGGAGCTCCGGCAAACAGCACTATGCTGACCAAATTATATTGATTGGTAGATGCTTTAAGTGATCTTGATATTTCCCAGGGCATACAGAGTATAATTTTCAGTGCAAAATTATTGGTGGTTGTCTAGATAAAAATATCGTGTGACCCCTGTTGTGACGTAACATGGAAATAAGAAAAGTAGATGTGAGGGATGGGTTAGCAAAATATTGTTTTTAGTGTAGTAGTACTATTTCAAGTGCCAACCTATCCACCCTTCTGATTCACATCCTTAAATGGATTGGAAATGGCAATATAAATTTTATTTTTATTTTCTCATTTGAAAGAACGTTTGAAACTATTTAATAACTTACTTCACTGATTCATCATATCTTGCTTCAGTTCTTGAAATATTTTCACTTGAAGTAATGAGATGTACACCATCTTGGATAAATTTTTTATCTCATCAATGGTAGTTTTGGTGATGTCACAACAGGAATTAACCATATAATAAAAGTATTTGTTGCTGACCTAGTGTTGTGCAAACTCCGGTTTTTCAGTTGCGGCTCCGGCCGAATTATAGCTCTGATGTCCGGCTCCATCATAAAATATTAAATATTTTAATATTTTACGATCAGAGAACATTTATTAATATTATTATGAATAACCCTTTTCGTGCTTCCTAATTATCAGATAACATAACTCAGGAAACAAAACAGTGAAAACACTTAACAACACAGAAAATATCTATATGGAAACCAGCCAGTGTTGCAATTTTTATATAGCATGATGCTAACACTCTCAGACTCCACAGTGCAATTGTTTGCATGCAAACAAAGTACTCTGTTTTCTCAAACAAAGTACTCATTTTCAAAAGGTTGATATTTATTTGTTTCGTACTTTTTCGTTACCTACAAGGCATGAATACACAGATAGTCTAGGACCTGTATATGAGTTTGTATGCGTTTCATTTAGCAGAGGTAATCTCAACTGTTTTAGGGTAAAATGACCATGGCGGTCAACATGGCATATGTGCCAAAAGCTGAATCCGAGACGAAAGTCCTGAAAATGACCCCGCCCTGAAACGGCAGTGTCGACATAGGTCTAACTTCAGAAAACAAAAAGCGATAGTCTTTCTGAAGTGCTTATAGTGTTTGGAAGGGTTGCTTTTAGGGGTGGTCATTGGAAGAAAAATTTGTCCAAGTATAATATTTTACAAGAAAATGATCATGCACCACCCCAGGTAAATTGCTGATTATGCATAAAATAACTAATATGCCTGGCAGAAATTAAATATTCTTATGTCCTAAAAAAAATTATCATGGGGTTAAAAACTATGCTTAATTTAATGTAAATATTGTTGATTTCATAAGGATTGTCATTGTTTTCTTTAAATATAATAAATTTTATTTCACTTACCCCCCACAAAAACGCGATTTCAGCCATATTTTGCTGTCTTGTTTGCTTTTTATCGCCGAATCATGCAAATATCATCCAGTTATTGTACTTTTACATAATCATAAATGGCTGAAGAAGATTTCAAAGAAGGTTTCATCCACTTTTGAAACAGTGCAGTGTATTTTATCTTCGATAATGTGTCCTTCGATATCTCGTCAAATTGCCGCCATTTTAATGGCTCGCCGCTTCTCTGCCCGATAAATGCCACTTCTTCGTTTTCATATGTATTTAATTTTTAATAACGGCTTAGTAGCTTTGCCTATATCACCTTCAGTCATCGCATTATTTATCGCTTACTTGTTTGATCTCAAGTATGCGCCATCCACAGTAAATACATACGTGTCTGCGATTGGTTATTCTCATAGATTGTCAGGTTTTCCTGATCCTACGAGAGTTTTTTACATCGTTGAAATACTTAAGGGGTATGGTAAAACAGGCTTCCACTTAGATAGTCGGTTGCCAATAACACTGTCAATTCTCAACCGCATTATAGAGGCGGCGCCTCACATTGCTGGCTCTCAGTACCAGATTTGTCAATTTAAAGCTGTGTGCTCTTTGGCATTTTTTGCTTTTCTGTGGATTGGAGAACTTACTATGACAACATCAAATAACCAACCCCTTCAAATGCATCAACTCTCACATATATATGATACGAATAACCAGATCACAGGCATAAAGTTAACCTTTGAAAATTTTAAACATAATTACAACCAACGGCCTTTTAGTCTGGAAATTTATCGTCAATCTATGATCTGCCCAGTGCAGTTATTAAGTGATTATCTGGTTTTGCGTGGGAGTCGGCCTGGTGCTATTTTTATTTCACACCTCGGTAATCCAGTATCGCGTGACACATTTGCTACTCAACTTCAGAGGGCTTTCCGGCATTGTGGTCTGGACACTTCAAAATACAAATCTCATTCATTTAGAATTGGCGCCGCTTCACATGCAGCTGAGAACGGATATTCTGATGCGCAAATTCATGCGTTAGGTCGTTGGAAATCGAACGCATTTTTAAAATACTTGCGCGTTTCTACTTTGGCGACTTAAGCTGGGTACGATTCTAACATCCGGGGATAAATTGCGTGGGGGGATTTGTCCTCGGAATGTTGTATACTCTGGGTCATCTAACACTTACATCTTAATTTGAGCATGATCAGCACGGGCGATCATGCTATTTTCTTAGATGAGTGCTTTTGGGGTCGGGTTTTTGCACAGAGCACAATTTCTCTTGTTCACTCAAGCAATCTACGTCATTGGCAAGGGCGGTGGCGTTTATTCTATATGTAATTATGTATTTGTGTTTTGTGCAATTATCCGATCTTTTTGTTATTTGATCCTCGACTAGTATGATTGAACTTGCCTGTTTAGTAGGGACAAACGCGGCATTCAATTTGCTAATCTGCCGACTAGCGCGACAATACTATATCCTTCTCACTGAACATTAAGCGGTGCAGTGGCATTAATTCATTTTATTTTATATATTCAGCACGTTGATTTATTACTTCCCGCAGCCTGCATGGGCGGCTGCGTTTACAAATTTTCCTAATCAAAATTGCTTGCTGCCTATGTAGCACATATGGTATTTCAGTTCGGTTTGCGAGGCGAGGATGCAATGGCCAGCAAGGGCGGCTGTTCGCATTGTCACAACCGTTCATTACTGGGATTATTAGTGCACGCATTCAGTCTCCTTGGGGTGGGGTTCATCTCGGTTTCACCTCGATGATTTGGCGATAATTTAGCTCCACCCTTTTCTTGGCATGAAACATTAGTATTTTCAAACACTTATGTATTAATAAATATTGTTTTATTTACTGAAATGAATCGGCTAGGAGGATGGTTACTCCTAGCCAAATTATCCAAAACATTACTATTTTCAAACATATACATATTAATAAATATTGTTTTGTTTACTTAAATAAATCGGCTAGGAGGATTGTTACTCCTAGCCAAATTATCCCAAAAGTGTGCTATCTTTAATGTTTGTCGAATGCCAAGAAAACAAAGCTTCGGAGAATGAATGCGTGCACATGCGGTTGCTACAGGGCAGTCGGTAATTTATAATACATAAATCACATTACATAAAACTGAATATTTGCGAAGAAAATAAGGAATTTATGTAATATGATTTATCAAAGTAAAATCTACTTTATCTAAAGTAGTTTAATAACCAGGAAACTAGAATTATTAGGAAGGTGTTAAGCCGTTAAGGGAATTTACTAATACTATAAGCTTGGCGCCGCCATATCTAAAATAGAGCATGCATATTGTCACGCAATGTGGGTGAGAGGAGTGGTGCAAACCTTATATAATGGACATCTACACTGCCAATCGTCAGTATCGACTACAACTGCTGAGAAAGACATCATTCAAAGTTGACCCACCTCCTCCCCAAAACCTCCTCTCATGTTGACTATTCGCTATGAACAACTTAATCAATTAATCATATACTTATATACCTATAGCTTAGTATTATTTTTAAGATTATAATTATACAATTACTTTATTGAATAATATTATGACATAAGGGTTGGCGATAATTTAGCTCCACCCTTTTCTTGGCATGAAACATTAGTATTTTCAAACACTTATGTATTAATAAATATTGTTTTATTTACTGAAATGAAACATGGACTGGGTTGGTGAACCTGACCAAATTATCAAAAATTGTGCTTATCTTTAATGTTGTCGAATGCCAAGAAAACAAAGCTTCCGGAGAATGAATGCGTGCACGTGCGGCTGCTACGAGGGCGATCGATAATTTATAATACATAAATCACATTACATAAAAGTTTTACTACCAGATATTTATTTAGGGGGGGCGACTCCCACGAGGCACCACATTACTGGTTTTCTTGAAGACAGGGGCTATTATAAGTTTTTACTAGCAGATATTTATTTAATGGAGTCTTTTGGAGAAGATCTCGTATACAATAAATACGTCATGTTCCTTCAAGATGGGCAAGCCTATGCAAGTATTTTCGTGTTCATGACTGTGAAAACAATCAATTTCTAAAGAAATAAATAATGACAATAATTTTGAATTTGCATAGCGGGACTAAATTTTTGGGCTGGCTACGCCACTGCGCGCAAGTTATCTTTACGTGCTGGAAGAGAAAACGACATCACGTCTTCACCACACTGTTTTGTCAACACAGCAGTAGTGAACTAATTAAAAGTATGGTATTTCAGTAAAAGAACTTGGAACAAAAATAAACAGACATGCTGCTTGAATTATATTTTAAACATTCTATAAAGTATCTTGCGAAATTTGCTAACTATTAATAATGTGTAGTGCGACACACCAGGGGAATCGTAATCGCATAACGTCCAGCAACAATACTTTACACAGTAAATAGACTATACACGGCAATAAAATTTTAGTGACAGATTAATATAGAAATCTTACTAAGGTAGCCTTTTCATCATGTTTATTTTCATTTGCGCTATATTTTTTCGTCCATCATCTACCATTCCAGTAGACGCAGTGGTGTCAAGTAACGAAGTAAATATACTTCGTTACCGTACTTGAGTACTATTTTTAAGAAGTGAGCATGTAACAAATTAAACTTTTTTTGGAGTACTTTTACTTGGAGTGAAGTCGTTTTAAGAAGTAACGTTTTACTTCGTTATTTTTATTGTGGCGAAGTATTTCGTTACTTTCTAACTTTTGTTTAATTTTACGTGATTTATTCATGATTTTTTTTAATTTTGGTGAGGTGATACGACCGCTACGTACGTTTGGTATCCCTCGTTTGTGGCTTACTTATGAGCATTATTTATTTAATGGCTTTCTTGTATCCTCAATGGGGTCTGGAAAGTAGATAAAGCCGTGACATTTTGTACATTAAGTACACGCATATAATGCGTGTGTCGTGTTGTGTCTTTTGTATGTCAATTCATTGGAGAAGTGATCCCCCTCCCCCCTACATGCTACAGACGATAGTACTTTTACTTTTTACTTCAAGTATTTTTTAAGGATACTTTGTACTTTTTACTTAAGTACGTTTTGCCTCCAGTACTTTTTACTCTTACTCAAATCGTTTTATTGTTAATTTCTTCTATTTTTATTCGAGTACAAATTCAAAGTAATTTAGGCACCACTGGTTACTATTGTACTAAAAAAGTCGTCCACAAATGTTTTTTATCCCTAGACATCAATGAATGTTCCCTATCGATTAATAATTGTCATTCCAACGCTTCTTGCACCAACATTAGTGGATCATCTTTCTGCACTTGTGACAGTGGATATACTGGTAATGGAACTTTTTGCCAAGGTAAATACACAATGCCCATCTTTCGACCAGAATGACAGAATAGAATATCTATATCTTTGTAAAACGTTAATGCCACTTATTTGTTATAGAAATAGATGAATGTTCTCTATCTCTTGACGACTGTCACCCAAATTCAAACTGTACTAATATTGATGGATCTTTCCTGTGTACTTGTGATAGTAGATTTGAAGGAAATGAAAGTCTTTGTGAAGGTAAACGAAAACGTAGTGAGTTGCGAATCGGATCAGATTAGATAGTAGCAACTAGCAAGGTTGATGGATAATTAAAATCCGAATTCCGATCTGAAATGTTTTAATCCGAATACTGGTCCTGTTCAATCCGACAAAATATGAATTCAAATTTTACGACCAATTTGATGTTTTGATTTTAATCTTTTTATTTGCAATAAATACGATGCAGCACAACCTCGTTCCCTGGCTCTTTCCTAAGCAACACAGATTTCCTTCTGGATATACACTGCGTTATCATGAGGGTAATTGGATTCAAATAAAAGCCGAGACAACAAATAGATAACATATTACCAAAATCGTCCTAAAAGTTAGAGATATACAAAGACCAATTATTATATAACAATTAATCCCAATATATAAAATTAAAATTAAGGAGACAACACGTGGTCGCCTTCAAACCTGGTTCTAATAACACCGCGATCAAACGTATAGCGCGTGCGCAAGTGTACGGCTGAATGGCGCGGTAAACGTTTACCAAAATAATAGGAGTAAGAGCGATAAAAGAAAAGCGTTTATAAATAAAGAAAATGCAGAAGCTATATGATATGGAATTTCGCCGCTTTTTGCTTGTATCAAGACGAAGTTACACTGAGTTTAAACACTCGTAATTCCCTTTAGAGCTTTTGTCAGAGCTTCTTGAAGACAATACTATTTCCAGTCTTTTTGAGTACAAGTAGTAAATATGCGCAGACGTTCGATCGCGTTGTTTATTATAACTGGCTTGTCAACAGCCGTAAAAGGATTGGACATTGTTCAATAGTTCAAATGTTTCCGCTGCCACGTGCATACTGAATGCAAGACTAATTGACCAATCATATATATTAGCAACGTGTACTTATTGTTATGTAAATGCATATGCTGGCTTATTTTAAAACAAATAAATATTGGTTCGGGTTGAAGTGTTCTCAATTTTCAACTTCCGACCCATAGACTCAGTCGAATTGTATGTATTGTCCAAGGAGATCATCACCCCTTGGTTCACGTCTATGTCAAAGCATAGTTAATAGAGGGGATGGTTTGGAAACTCATTAGCAATTTAGCATTACAATAAACCTCGCTATCTATGTTTTTGTTCAGGTTTATGCAAAAATGTGGTCTTTCATCGTCACGTGCGTATTGTATTTTTGTTCAACCAGCCAATAGCAACGGTTTTGTCCAATTGCTCATCCATGACTTTAACAATAGAACATTTTGAACATTTCTATTGGTTGGCTTGAGAAAAATACAATACGCACGTGACGATAAAAGACCACATTTTTGCATAAACCTGAACAACATAGATAATGAGGTTTATTGTGATTTTATTGTAATGCTAACGAGCTAGCTTCCAAACCATCTGTTTTGAAACATGAACCCGTTCGTATATATACTTTATTAAACTGACCCTATTCCTAAGTACACAAGCTATTATATACCTGTGGTACGCCCACAGTCTGCATTGCTAATTACTATTTACTGAATTACAATATTCTAATTATAACATCTCTCTCCTTAAAGAAAGTAATATATATTTTTTTTGTGTTCTTTTTGTACTTTGTCCTCTGTATCTACGATTCTAATAAATAACTACTAAAGTCTCTAACCTAAAGGTTCATAACACAAATATTTATATATATGTGTCCAATGTCATTATTATCAAATATAGTTAATTAAATATGTTTCAATATCTCTGGAAAATTGTCAATATTCCTCAATGTACCGTTTTGGTTTCCTTATAACACGTCCGCTTGAGGTATGGCTTGGCGTATTCTGTAACGTTCTTTCTGGATTTCTTCGATCTGCCACTCTTCTTGACAATTCGCTTGTTTCTGGATTGATCTCAGGAACAACTTCAGGAATCGCTTGAAAAATGTCGTCTTCAAGAATGTCGTCAGAAACTGCTTTAGGAACAGCTTGAAGATGTCGTCTATTTCTCCGCATCTTTTTCCCCTCTGGAGTGTCCACAATGTATGATCTTGGTGTAGATCCATATCCACTGACAACTCCAACAGGGCTCCATTTCTTCTGATTATCGGTTTTCACCCGAACAGTTTGACCTGGTTCCAAATCAGATAAGGACTTCACACCATGCCTCTTGTTATAAGCATGACTATATCTTTCTTTCGATTCCTTGTCTACTTCGCGTTCAGTCGGAAGATCTGGCCAGGCTGGTAACAGATTACGACTAAGTGTTGGAATAGTTGTGCGAATCTGTCTTCCCATGATCAATTGACTAGGACTTACACCTGTCGCTGGAATTGGCGTTGCTCGATACACCATCAACGCAAGGAACGGATCCGTTTGCTTCAAGATTCTCTTGGCTATCTTGACAGCACTTTCCGCTTCTCCGTTTGCCTGCGGATAATGTGGACTAGACGAAACATGGAGAAACCCATACTGAACGCTAAACGATCTAAAATCCTCTGAAAAAAATGGTGGACCATTGTCACTTATTAGGATTTCAGGAACTCCCCATCTTGCGAAAATGCTCTTCAACTTAGCTATTACCGTCCTGCTTGTTAAATCTGGTACATAAACAAGCTCAAGATACCGGGAGTAATAATCTACTACGACCAAATACTTCTTTCCGTCTAATTCAAGTGCATCGACCGCTACTTTCTGCCAAGGACGCTCGGGTAACGGTGTTGGTTTCAATGGCTCTCTTCTTTGTGATGGTTGGTTAATTTGGCAAAACTCACAACGTGAAACCTCCTCTTTAATGTCCTTGGAAATACCAGGCCACCAAACGGAGGAATTCGCACGTGCCAAGCATTTCGTCACCCCAAGATGACCATCATGAATCCTCTGAAGCATTTCCATTCTCATTGAAGCTGGAATGACTATTTGATCACGATAAATTAATTTCCCTTCGACGCACGAAAGTTCACCACGATAAGGAAA